GTAAGGATAATAAATATCACTCTCACTACAAAAAACTTGAAATCTTGCCATGTATATTTGTCTAATATCTAGTCAGAATATGTCTTTACACCTGATATACAGGGCCGTCTTTGGCCAACATGAGGCCCCACGCAAAGTTATATGATGAGGCCCTCTGTTTCGCAAGCGTCGCCGCATAAGCGCATAAGTGCGCTCAGTTGAGGCTCCCTCCGCAAGATGAGGCCCCCTCCGCAAGGTGAGGCCCCCTCCGCAAGGTGAGGCCTCACAGAGTCTGCATGATCGGCCTGTAGGGAGGGACGGCCCTGCTGATATAAGTCACATTAACTTCAGAAGTTAACACTGCAGTGAGATATCGGGTCTTGTTTTTAGACAATGCATCATCTTGTTAAGTCAAAAAATCTTATTTTGAGTTATATCTCAGATGAAACACATTCTGTTTTTACATATTTATTTGAAGATCACCAACTAATATCAGAAAACAGAAAACTTTTGAGCATTTGCGGCTTATATTTTAACACAACATTTCCTGATTCTGGTCAAATATAGTTCAATTTTTTTCGACCAGCTAATTACAAGATCTGATTTATCTAAATATCCCTTCTTATTTCAAGAAATCTTACCAAGCTAATTTGCACTTGTTCTATTGGCAGATCTTTGTACTTATTTCAAGTGAAAATGTTTTCAATATTGTTTAACTTGTTTTTGGAGCAACATTTTGTCCAGTGCTCTGAATGCTTGTTCATGTTTAGGTCTTATTTCATATCGGGTTATCCATCAAATACTCAGCATCTTGATATGTATTTGTGTAGGTACGTCAAACTCTGCATGCTGCCAGGAAAGAGCGGCAAAATGAAGACGACAGTCAAGAAAAGCACGACGAATCCGGTTTATAATGAAGTATTCAAGGTACAAACATGATTTTACCTCAGTTGTCTGGACAATAAATGTGCCACTTCTCTCAAATTAAACAAAGTTCTTGGTCTGGTGTTTGACAGTTTCCCATAGAGCGCCACCTGCTGCTTGGAAAGAGACTGCAGGCCTCTGTGTGGCATTCAGGGACCCTGAGAAGGAAAGTGTTTCTCGGCGAGGCCCTCTTCCCGCTGGATGGCTGGAGGTTTGAGGACAAGACTTCCCAGAGCTTCAACTGGTACCCACTTTGTCACAAGGTAAAACTGAAAGGCTATGTGTTCAATATTAAATATGTGTTCCATCCACAAATGCTAGTTGTTCACACTTTGTAAGGTTATAATCTTACAAGAGATATTGATCTAACAATATAGCTTTAGATTTGGTTTTGGTAAGTTAATTTTATTACAATTTGGACTGAGACAGGGCAGAAGTTTCCCCATGTTTCCAATTGTTATGCTAAGCTAAGCTAATTGACTGTTGGCTGTAGCATACAGTAGTTCTGAGGCGCTGTTTACACGGGAACGAAACGGGTTGTATCTGCTACTTTTCTCTTTCGTATAGCCCGTTCGTTCACACGAGGCCGTAACAGAACCACGGAAACGGACCCCTCAAACGATAACGGGTCCCAAGGTGGATAGATCTGCGGACGGAACGCTCTGGGGCGCCAAACGGCTCCGTGTGTACGTCCTATATGATAATTTCCTGATAACGATGAAGCCATAGCCCCGCCTCTCCCCACCTCTGCTGCTCACTGCTGTAGCATGGTCAGTAGCTACTGTCAGTAGCATGGTCAGTAGCTACTGCTACTGCTACTGACCATGCTACAGATGTTAGTGCAAAATCTACAGCTCCTCTACCACAACCATCAGCAACAAGTGGACATGGAGAACTACATGAACTACATGTTGCTAAATCCACGCGGAGAATAAACAGAAGGGCAACCAGGCAACCATGGCAACCATGCTCGGGGGTCTTCTTCGCTGCTTTTGGTGTATTTTGCGGCGGAAGTACAGCGCCACTTACAGGCCCGGCATATGTACTACAGCGTCTCGAGCGGGTCGAGCGGTCTCGTGTGAAGGGACACGTTTATTGAGCCGTATCCGTGTGAACGGAAGACTTTTTTGATATCGAACTCGGTTTGTTTGCGTTCCCGTGTAAATGGGGCCTCATACAGACATGACAGTAACATCTCATCAGGCTCTCAAAGTAGTTTTATATAAAAAAAGTTATTTATCAAATATTTGGTTTTCCATTTGAACTCAATAATTTTAAACATTTATGAATAATGCAGTTCTTCATCACATATTCTGGGATTGTTTTGTTTTTGAGGCTGCATGTGAGTTTATTCCCTCTCCTTCTTGTGTTTCTGCGCAGGCTTCAGAGGGAGGCCCTGTGGAGCGACACGGAGGAGAAGTGCTGCTCAGAGTCAAGTTCTCCTCCCCCGAGCAGAGGGAGGTCATGCAGCTCAGCTCCTTCAAGAGTCTGCAGGAGAAAGACACACGTCGGCAGATAATATAACATGTGATCATAGTTTAATAACAACAAATATCGACTTGATTAAAGCCTTAAATCTTGAAAAAGGATGATATTGCAGTTGTCCGTTTTGCACAAAAGTTGTTTAACTTCCTTTTTTGTTAATTTATTAATTAATTTATTGTTCTTTTTTTTATTTCGTCCCTTACTTTCTGAAACCACAGAACGCATTGTACATCTTTTTGTAATGTTTGTGATATTGGGCTTAATAAATTAACTTGATTAAAGCTGACTTGATTTAACACCAGCAACGTCATTTTTTATTTTAATGTCATGAACTATTTTATATTGTGTATTAATATTATATTAGAATATTTAATTATCATACACCTATTTATATAAATAAAGGAATTTTCTGTCATGAATTCTACAGCTAATAATACATATTTACTAATAAATAAAATAAGTATACTGTAGTTTCTGATATGATTACATGACTTATAACATCCCAAATCATGCAGTAGATTATAATGTGTTTTCTGATGTAGTAGTTATCATGTGATTTCATTTATTAAATTCAACAATTCAATACTCCCACACGTTTTACAAAGAAAAATAGAGAAAACAATTAAGAACACATTTTAAGCATTACTTTACAGTACATTAATGAAGAAGTACTTACGTAAAAGTAACAATACTGCCCTGCAAAAACAATAACTCTGTTACAAGTAAAAGTCCTACATTCAAAATGACAAGTAAAACAGCAAAAGTACTTAAGTAAGTAAGTATTGAAGTAAAAGTAACTTCTGGGTTTGGAGCTATAACGGAATATAATTACTGATTACCGTACATTTTGACTACTTCCTAAACTTTGGAATAGTTTATTCTAAAGATCCATTGTAGAGTATCAGATTTTATAAAGTGATTTGTCTTTTCGTCATCTGAAAAACAACTCCAGCTTTCAGATACATGCAGAGAAGACAAAGGTATAACGCAGGATACAAATGTAACACTTGTTTGTTTGTAGAATGATTTAGTTTAAGGGGAATAAAAGGCCCAGGTTCCATCACTAGAGGTCAGAAGAGCGTCTCCTTCAGACTCCATGACTTCCTGCAGACTGAGTTTTAACTCTGCGCCACATGGCCATGATCTAACTGTCCTTATCAGAGGTGCCTAACACCTTCCCTTTTATGCAAACACAGAGCAGAACACATGCGTCAGAGTGTAAACACACCTCATTGTGGCCTTGCATGTCTCTTTGTGCGTGTGTGTGTCAGTGTCCGTAGGCCTTTGAGGTGTGTTGTGTGTGTTCTGGTGTGTGTGTTTATGAATGCATCAAAGAGTGCAAGTGTATAATAAGCGTGAGGGTGTGTTTGTATAGATATGTGTTTGTGTGTGTGTCTGACGGGTGAGACCAGGAAGGAAAACTATTGTTAAATGCCATTCATATTCCAAGAAACTATGGTGTGAACCCTTCTAAGGATTGTTTGTGTTTGTTTATTGTCTGTAAACATGTATTAAAGGAATAATTCAACCTTTTGGGAAATATAATGATTCAACCCGACAGTGAGCAGTTAGCGTGATATCCATCTTATTATCTGGTTCTTGTCAAGTGTTCCCCAGAAGATCAAAATGTTCATTTAAATATGATAAAAGGCACAATATTAACAACAGTGGTGTTAAAGTGTGCTAGAAGCTTCTTTGCAGCATTAAAGGCATCGTTCAAATTCAATTTCCTCCTGAAAGTGATGTTCAGCTAAACATCGATGCAATGAAATCACTGGAAATTAAACTGATCTGATTTTCCTAAACTAAACTAAACCCTCTCTTCACAGGAAGTGGTTTGACTCTCTCCCTCTGGACAATGAAGCCTTTCTTGTCTGGGTCTGTGTAAAAGACATTCTCTGGTTTCATTTGAAGAAGAAGAAGAAGAAGAAGAGGAAGAAGAAGAGCAGCGATGATGTCACCGGGCTGGAATTCTCTGTAAACCCGGTCTGCTCTGGGTCACCATGGCAACAGTTGTTAGGACGCCAAACAGGTTGAGTGATGTCACCGTCCCTGTCACTCGGCAACGTCAGGCAGGCAAACATGATGTCATTCAGAAACACACTCGGCACTATAACATGGTCACAGTGCGTTATTACTGTAAGAGAGTCACCATGGCAACAGTTAACGAGCGCTGTGCCTTCCTTAATTGGCATTTAGCCCTCATAACTTTGAGAGTTTGTTGTATTGTACGCCAGTTTAGTATTTTAAAGGGCTTAAAATAGCATGCCAATATAAAATGCTATAACAATTTTGTTTTTTAAAAGCCGTAGTGAAGTTTGTCATTCAAATTAGAAAAAAGGTCATAGTATTGTACATGCTCAAAAAAGTAGTTCAAATACAATTTTATTTATGAAAAGTCATAATACAGTATGTGATAACATGTGTAGAAGTTATAGTATGTAAACAAAAAGTCATAATATAGTTTCTAAAAAAAACAAGTCATACTGTAGTATAGTATGTCGAAACATTTCACATTATAGTATGTCTAAAATAATTCTCTTCATAAGTTCATGTGTGTGTGCATAAAGACAGGGATGTTTTGGTCAAAAAGTGTACAAACAAAGAAACGCTGATGTGTAATCATAGATTTTTCTTTATTGCCAATATGTTGAACACCTCATTATAAAATCCTGTTCATATACAAAGGAGTGTTTTCTTACAGTAGAGGCTACTGTGGTCCAGAGAGAGAGATGTTCACCGTCTGTCCATAGTGACCTGCGAAATGAAAACTCTTTGTAACGTTCACCTCAACCCTCATTAGGTTTAACACTAAAATAACTAACATTTGTGTGACTGAGCACCTTGGCTACGAAGTGAGGGCCGACAGTCTGTCACTGACCCTCCAGAGGGACGGCCAGAGAAGGCCACATCGGGGGGGGAAGAGCACAACACATGCTCGTCTCTCACTCAACAGCAACATGACGCAGAACAGAGAAATAAAATATATCAAACCTAAAGTGTCCCAGTCCACGCAGCGCTGCGAGGATACAGACATTCCTCTGCATGCTGCGAAGTGCACGGCAACAAACAAATCAAAAGTACCTCGATAGATAGCATTGTCCTTTACTGATTTAAATGGCATGCAGCTGGATATTTCCTACAGTAAAAAATAATAATAACTTACAGTTAAATCTCTTTAATTTAGTGATCTGAAGGAAAACGTATGGAACATAAGACTATTTTGGTCAATATATAAAACATAAATGTTTTCATTGTCATTAGTAGATAGCAAAAATATACAAACCAAGATGAAATACCCTTTTTAATGTCCCATATACAGTATAAATATCAAGCTAGGGATGATTTTAAACTACTGTATAGCAATATTAAACATAAATGGAAGTGTTCAAATATAAAGGAAAATAAAAACAACCATTTTCCTGCTTATACTTTCCCCCTTTCTGAGTGGTCGCTTTCAACGACAAACTGTCCTTTTCTTCCAACACGACAAACATGAAAAAGAAGCGAGGCTTTGATTACATATCATATGTGCACATCATGAAATAATAAGAAATTTGGCTAGTCCCACTACTTCATCACACCGCTGGATTAAAACAATAATGATTTGGTCTGAAGTCGAACCAATTACACACAATCAAATACAAGGTCTGAGACACTAAGAGGAGGAAAGGATTTGGCACTAAGTTTTCTTCTGAGGATTTGCAAAGCTCTGCACACTCCCAACAGGAGTGTGTCTCTCTGTTTATACTGCTCCAGGTTAGTCAGCGACTGGTGTGTGTGTTATACATGAGCGTGTTTGTGTGTGTGTGTGTGTCCACGTGCCGAGACGTAGGGACCAATCAGAAAGGGCGAGGGGCCGAGGGATCTTTCTATAAGGCCTCGAACTCGTCGATCCTCTGCTTGGTGTTGCCCGACCGGATCTGTCTCAGCGTCTTGTATTTGTCTCGGCCGGCCCGGACGTTCTCGCTGTGAAGAAGGTCGTTCGTGGTGTTCTTGGACTCGTCACGCGCCTGAGCGAGCTCTGAGGTCAGGGCCTGGGGGGAGAGGGGGGAGGAGGGGTGAGAAACAAATCCAACAACTTACAATATTCAACCACTGATGTGCAATCTATTACTGTAACAATGATCTGTAAATATATCATTTTACTACTCAACCAGTCTTCATTCTATAATGTTGCACTTATTTGATTTATAAATACTGCTGCTACTTACAGTACTTATCTACCTGAATGTGTACTTCTGTAAATTGTAAATATTTTAACTATATAATGTGGATGCCTTTGTCTAAGACGGTTTTATTTTTGTAATGTATACTTTGCTGTAACAATGTAATCCCCCCCCTCACCGGGTTGAATAAAGGAATTTTGATTTAGATTATTCTGTAAGAGGTAAATGTACTCATAGTGTTGTACTTAAGAACTACTTATACTTCATTTTATCCGTTTTATGCTACTTTAAACTCCTACTGCACTTTGGATGTTGAACTTCTATCTCCACTAAATTTGTCTGACTGCTTTAGTAACTTTAAAGATTTGGATGATTAGCTACAATTACATATAAATCAATAATAAATATATAATTATGGTTTGAGATATCCAGCAGCAGTATATAAAGTAATTAAAAGTAGCTCGTTCAAGTACTTTTACTCTTGGTACTTACAATATTTTGATGTCAATACTTTTGTACATTTACTCAACTAAGATTTCTCAATTCAGGATTTGTAAAAGCTCATTTTGACAATTTAATAATTTGTTCTTTGACTGCTCAGGTAATGCCTACTTCCTGTATCACTGACACTCAGTACTCTATAGTAAGGAATTACTCCTGGACACTTTGATTGTTGAAGATATATAATCCTTTTGCGTCATCACGTTGTTATTACAGGAAGTCGTGCACGTGCAAATGCAACAGCAATTCACAATTCACTGGAAGATACTTTTTTATTCTGAAATCTATAAAAAAAAAAGCTGTCAGAAATAATTTCACTGTATTAGTTTGTTTTGAATGAGTATTTGTTGTTTGTGTTTCTTGTCAGTTGTTTGTTACTGTGGATTTACTAATAACTCAATGATGTTCTGTGCACGGTGTTGTGTCTATATGTGTTTACACTGACTCACCGATGTTGTTGGGACTTTTTATTGTGTACTATTTATATCAGTCTGTATCTCTTCCTTTCCCTTGTAGTTTTTTCACTCCCTATGTTCTTGGTTTAGCTACAATTCTACATTGCATCATCTTAATACCAAATTACAAAAATAAAGAAACAGTTGTCAGATAACATGAAATAAATACAATAACGCCTCTGCCTCTTAAGAGCTATTGACAGCGTTTGTTTACCTTCAGCTGTTTCTGCACGCGCTCGTTCTTCTCTGCCTCCGTCAGGCGGTCCTCCTCGTAGCGGTGGTCGCTGATGCCGTCGTTCTGCAGGTCGGCGCTGTTCGTGCTGACGTTCTCCTCGCTGACGTTCTCCTCGCTGTCGCTGTTGTAGTCCATGTTATCGAACATGGGGGGGGGAGGCGGCGGGGGGGGGCGCCGTCATCACCATGTGCAGCTCCTCCCGGGTCTTTATCAGGTCGTCCTGCGCCTCCTGGGCCTGAGAGGAGAAGCAATAAAACACACAGAGAGAGAGAGAGAGAGAGTCAGTTTAAACTCTTTGTGGATGGAACAATCCTTTGTTTTCAAGTTTCAAATTCAACTAATTTAAAGTCAACAGTCGAATAGAAACTGCCTCCCTGGCCCAATTACGTTTTTAAAATTTTTTTTTTTATATAAGATAAGGTAAGATGGAGCTTCATTGTTTGTTTGTTCACCATGTAAAGCGGCCTTGGGTTCCTTGAAAGGCGCTATAAAAATGTCCTCTATTATTATTATTATTGATCCCCGTAGGGAAATCCAGGTGTTAGAGCAGCAACAGAATAAAACAGGAACACAGATAGTACACATGGGATGATAAGAATACAAATAAAATGGCACATAATAATAATAAACATGAAGTAATAGTATGAATAGAATATATTATATTTATAATTTGGTTTGGATTTAAGATCACAAGCATTCAGGTTCAGGTTTTTTTATTTGTACCCGTAGGTAGATTTTGTTTGCAGAGAAAAAGACAAGGGATCCATCCTGACACTAAGAACAAACACACACAACTCTAATAAAAGGACTAGTAAAAAGTACACCAAGTATACCATGCTCAACCAAATCTCAAAATATTTCAGAAATATTTCAAGAAGGAAAACACTACTACTAAAATTCATAATTAAATAAATACAAATAGGCATCTGTGTGACACTCCTATGATGTGTGAATTTGTGCAATAGCTGCTGGGATAAAACAGTTTTCATACCGCTTCGTTCTACTCCTTGAGACGACTAACCGGCCAGAAGGAAGAAGCTTGAATTCTGAGTGCAGAGGGTGGGAGTCATGCATTACTCTTTAACTAAATGAACCACAACTGCCTCGTTTCTTGAAAAGTTTTGTCAGTATAGAGAATGTATAATCGCAGAGAAAGAGTCTAAACCAGGAGTCACCAACTTTTTTTAGGAAGAGAGCTACTTTCAAAAAATAAAACAAGTACTTGTTTTTTGCAGTGTATATATTTAGCACATTTTAACATTATTATAAGCTTACCTTTAACCTTTGTGTGCTGTTTGGGTCTGTGGGACCGTTTTCAGTGTTTACTAAAAGAACATGTATTCAATTTAATTATTTTAACCTGCTTTATTTGGGGGTGGACCTCACATCCTCTAGGGGAAGATTTTTTTTTAAATGTTGAAGTGAAATGCATCCATCTGGAGCACTTTGAGCACAAAATGAATTTATGGAAACAGCTCTCAACACTCAGATGAAAGGGAGCTGTATACTTTTCAATAATCCAAAAACCTTTAGAATATGATCACAACCAATAACAAATCATTTAGACTTGTTTATTCTTATCTTATCTTACCTAGTTAGAATTCTATCTTTTCATTTATGCTTATTTTACTAATCACTCTCCTTTTAAACTGTTTTTTGTTTTTTTTACTGTCCTATACACATTGGAATGATTTCTTACTTTATCTATATTAAATAGATAAAGGTGTGCTCTCTCTCTCTGTGTCTCGCTCGCTCGCATATTTGTAAAGTGGGGGGACACAAACGGGATTTCAAAAAGTGGAGGACATGTCCCCCCCTGTCCCCAGTGGAAATTACGCCATGCGTGTGTGTGCGTCAAGTGCAATACATATGCAAGTTGCAACACACAGAGTAAAACTCTATTCCTCATGTGCAGTATAGGCTGGCATGACTAGGCTGTTCAATGGGGCTGATGTGTTGTGTAGATTCTGCCAGAAGGAAAATCACGGTCACACTCCTTATGAAGTGGTGAGGTGCCACATTGCTTTTCTTCCCGACTGCAACGCTGGTCCCGCAAATCAAGCAAGAACGTGATTGGTCGATATTCATTGTGGGGGGAGGAGGGGTGTTATATAGAGTTGTAGTAAGTAGATAAAGTTCGCTATTATTTAAGTTTCGTTTATGCATAGGGTAGATCCTTTTAATTACATTTCCTTTTTTGTTTTGTGTATTTTATACATTTTGGATTTGCTTGGCGAGCTATTTTTAGAACATGCCCGACGGTCGACTCACGTTGCCCCTGCGGCGACTAAGTGCCCGCGGGCACCGTGTTGGCTACCCCTGGTCTAAACTAATTGAATTGAAGTCCTTTTAGGTCTAACATACTGTAACTGCCTGCTGTAAATGACAGGAATGTCTGAATGAGCCTCAGTGTGCTCTCAGGTAAAGCTCTCACCCTGAGCTGCCAGGAGTTGGCCTCCTCCTCTTTGCGCCTCTTGGCATCCTCCAGCAGGCTGATCTTAGCCGTGTGCTCTGCCAGCTCTGAAGCCTGGGAAGAAAACAACAAGAGAAAGACTTATTAAAGAGTCCAGGTTTAATACATGTAGCTGGATCATGGAATAAAACATTTATTTAATCAGGTGGTCCCATTGAGAGAACAGAGTGCAGCAAAAATAATAAACAAAGCTGTACTTGAAGACACAGAAGGAACACAACTGACACACTAAAAGTAGGTCAAGGTTTGAATACTTGAGTTTCTGAACACTAGTTTATTCATGTTATTCAAAAGCATTCTGAGTTTCAGTCCTATCAAAACGAAGCCTGAGCGTCCTGATGAAATGTGACCAGTCTGTGGTACATTCCTCCGGACCCCCGAACAATGTGAGCAGCTCGTCTTTCACCAGCCTCACTAACCGGAGGCTCAGTATTAAACGGGACACCTGCTTCGGTTGTAAAGTCACTGAACCGACTCTCCGGCCGTGAAACTGTTGATTTAAAAAAGGTGTTCAGCCTTCAGTGAAAACACGGGGAACAAAGTGAACTATTAATGCATTCTGTGCTTTGATTCAACAGCTACAGATTGCCTTCTCAGTGGCATTCAGTGCACGGACACTAAATCCTTTGCAGAAGCTTCTTAATAAGGTTTAAGTATAAAGGTCTCGCAGCAGCAGGTGTCTGTGTGATTGTGGGAAAAGGAACCACAGCTTTACTGTCCGGACTGTTAAAGTGAGAGGGAGCAGCACGGTCCTGTGGGTGGTCTGCAGAGAGGGTTGGGGGGGGGGGGGGGGTGAGAAGTCTGCAGTAATGGGGTGTGGTCCAGCTGGACGCTACAAAGTTGTTTTGTCTGAAGCTACTGTAGCCAGGCACTGCTGAATACTCCACCCTGCTATGTGCCTGGTACAGAGGTGGACAAAGTCTCCGCTGAATGTGGAGAGAAAAGACTTTGATTTGTCTCATCTCGCAAACATGCAGCCAAACCTTTTTTGTTGTTGTCCAGTGCGGCTCAAAACACTTTTAATCTTGGTGGCATTTGCCAATTTACTGACACAATGACTTGGTTTGGGAGCATGAATGAGGTAGTTTCAAAGCAAACATGCAATAGAGGTGTGAGGACAAAAACCACCAGATTCAGAGACAGTTTCATCCCACAGGCAATAAGACTGTTAAACACCTGAACTGTTGTAACATCCATAACATTCATCTGCTACTTAGTAATTATTTATCTAATATATCATTCCAATAGCTTGCATATAGACTCTTATTTCACTACTTTTAAACTATTTTTCTTTTTGTATTTACTTTTTAATAATTACTTGCACTATATTTTTCTGTTTTTCTGTATTATTGTGTTGCACTGTTGGAGAAGCCTGTGACCTAAGATTTTCATCGACATAACTACTCTGTAGCTATGTTCGTATGACAAATAAAGAACCTTGATGTCAGATGAAACAGATGCTAGTTAACCCGAGTGTCTCTTTTGTATATCCGTTGTTCTACAAACTATACAAATAACCATAGAGAATTGGAAAGCTGGTTGAAGGTTAATAAAGAGTTGCTCGGTGTGAGTGCAGCACTGACCAGCTGCTCCTGGCTCTTCAGCTGGTCCTCAGCGTGGCGGGCCAGCTCCTCTTTGGCCAGCAGGGCGGCCTGGCGCTCGGCCTCCAGACGGGCCGCATCCTCCTCGGCTCTCCTCCGCTCCTGCTCCAGGATCATGGCTCTCTGCATCTGTTCCTGCATGTCTACGATACAGAAAGGTAAGCAGCATTAATACAAAACGAGCCCATACAAAGACAGATTGCTGACAAGTTCAATCAGAACCAGTTTGACCTTTTGAAGGACAAAGCTGGCATTTTTCAATATCTTTCAATATGAATTTGCTCATTGCCTTCTACTTTAAAAAGAGGCTAAGTGATTTCCTATAGCATCTGAGTACTGCATGTTTTAGCACACTTGTATAATTGCAGTTGATAATTAATACACATTAATGCCTATAAAGAGTAGCATAGCGGATAGACACTCAGTCTAATAAGATGTAGTTATCACTGGGCACCCAGACTCTTTCCCATGACTGTGTCAACTTGTGTTTTTCCAGCTGTGAAACCACAGTCAGCTGGAATTTGAAGTATTTAAAAACAAACACTTCAAATAATCTGGAACTACTTTACGAGCTGTTAAAGTGTTAATCATTACTAATGAGGAAACCCCGGAGTCACTTTAGAGACTGTCACAAAAATAAACAGGTGTCTGGTTTGGACACTAAACAAAGTCAAATCAAAAACACACAAAGAAAAAAACTAACCAGAATGCTTCATACTGTAAACACAGATCACATCAGTGCTTGAGTCAATAACAGATGCTTCACTGTTTCCGCTTACACTCGTCACAAACGTTGTTGATAAAACAAATAACCTGCTTACATAACCTCACGTTTCCCTCCCCCCACCTCACACACATGCTAACTATGTACACACACACTCAATGCCTCACAAAAGGGTTAAGTGATATCGAAGCCGCCTCACCTTTCTCTGCCTTCTTGGTCTTCTCCTCAAACTGGTACAGCCTCATCATCAGTTCCTGCTTCTCTCGCTCCATCTGCTCCTTCTCCTTCTCGATGGCCTCCCTCTTCTTCTTCTCGTTATCCAGCTGGGCCCTGCAGATAACACACAGCCGCCGTGAGCTGACATGCTGGACGCAGAGTATAACGGCTGACAAACGACAGGGTCTGCCCCCCCCCCACCCCCACATAAGCCCCAGATTCACAGCGTGATTGCACAAGCGGCTCCATCACTGCTACATCAGGCATGGTCACATACAGTAAATGCAACGTGTAAATAGTATTCTCTCTCAGTTTGACCGTGTGGGGCCGTTTAACTGCTTCAATACGATCCTGTGAATGGTGGAGTGGAAACAGCTGCTAGAGAGCTGAAGGATGTCAGTGTAGTCATCAGTAACAGGAATTATTTAATGGTTTTACATTAGGGCTGCGACTAGCAATTCTTATAACAAAAAGATTATTTGACTCATTGTTTAGTAGTCCATAACATTTCTGAAAATAGAGAGAAATACCTGCCAAAATCCCCTTAGGCCCAATTTAAAATCTCAAACAGATTGATTAAAAAAATTAACAAAACCAAAACCAGGAAGTAATCCCATTTGAGAAAAAACTTTCAAGGAATATTTGGCATTTTTGCTTAAATTATTACTACTATTTACTATCATAATGGTAGCAGCAATGTTTTCAGCTGAGGAGAAAAGATGCATATTCTTTCATTTGAAAATGTTAACTAAGATAATTAAGAGTGTTTTTTTGCCAATAAACGACTTTAGATGATAAGTGGATTATCAAACTTTTTTCATTTAAGCATCAAAGCCTATTCAGAAGTAAAAAGTAGAGCTGCAGCAAGTTACTGATTAATCATTCACTCTTCAATTAGCATTGTATTTACATTGATATCTACAGTGGATTTAAAAATGTAAAGGTTTGAACGTATATGAAAAACTTCAACGGGTTAATAATTTTTGTAGGAGAGCTAGATTGTCCTTTTAGTTCTTCAGCTTTGTTGTTAATTATTGCATAACTTTTGCTGCAGCAACAACCTGAGATCTCCCTCAGGGGTTAATTATGATTACATTGGACACCTTAAGGGACTTGTAACAAACCATCTAGAAACAGTTTTAGGACACCAGCCCAGAGTGTGTGTGCGTGTGTGCGTGTGTGTGTGTGTGTGGATCCTAACTGTCTGCTGGGGATGTAATGGTCCACACGCTGGTATTTACTGTGTTGTCTGCTCCGTGTTACATCACTGTGTTTGAACAGCTGTACGAGGCAGACAGTGAGCAGAGACTGCATTCACTTTCACTTCAGCCAATTCAAGCTGATTTCCCATACTTGAGAAGGAATGCTGCTTTATGGCCCAGTGAATGGAGGTCTCAATTTACAGAAGTGCATGGATTGAAAGTGTCTGGGAGAATGACATCTGCAAGACGTGGGATCATCTCATGGTTTTGCAACTCACGGGTATGTTTAAAATGTTTGCACTCAAATCCTCAACAATCCTTGACAAGTCATACTGCCCTCTTATGTACTAAGTAATATATAATATGAATAAAGTGTCCTTTTTGACCCCCGGGTTTTGCATATGGCAACATGTCAGTTTGTTTTGTATTGACTATGTAAGAGTCCACACTTTTCAAACTACCTGCCACTCGTAAAGCTGGTTCAGAAAGAGGTTAAACTACCACTTTCAAGTAATTTGTTACGCAAAAGATGACAAACATTTGCAAGTCCCAGCTTCTCAAATGTTCTCTCTACACGTGTCGGGGCGTTTGCGTACTTCTCCATCTGTTTGTGCTGCTTCTCCTCTCGGGCCTGGGCCTTCATCTGCTGCACCTCGATGGTGTCGGGCTTGCGGCGGCGCATGTACAGCTCATGGTTCCCCATGCACAGCTGCAGGATGCGCTTGTTAATGCGCAGCCTCGGTGCGTAGAACACAAAGTCCTGACATTTAGAGAAGAAGAAGAAGCAGACGGGAGAGGGAGATCAAAAGTTAAACAGCTGCCTGATGAAAGACTGAAGTAGAAACTCTGAGAAGTTTAGGGAAATGTTAAAACAGATTCCTGCTACTAACAGTAAAGACTGCTTCACTTATTAAGGGACTGAGCTACACAGATAAGGTATAGACTTTAGTGTGTTGGGGTCCATCACTAATAGCATTGCCTGTAAGTAGCAGTGGCTTTTCTGTATGCTAGATCACACTGAAGATATGTCTAACGTCTCTCGCTACAGAGACACACGATGCTTCAGGTAAAACAGGCTTAAAGGTGGGGTAGGTAAGTTTGAGAAACCGGCTCGAGATACACTTTTTGTTATATTCCATGGAATGCTCTTAACATCCCGATAGCAATGAATATTTGAAGTGCTTTGACAAAAAATCCATAAAAAAATGTCATCTGTGGAAGCCGTAGTACTGTAAAAAGCACGACCAATCATTTTAACCGGCCCGGCTAAAATAACTGGATGGCCTACCTGCCTGTCAGCCTTCCATCTGTGCACAAACTTATCTCGTGCCCTCATTGGTCATGTGCGCGTTCGTGTGTGTTGGAGGAGGGGCTCTATAAGGAAGTGGCAGATTTTCTCCGATTGTGTATTTTCAAATTCTAGCGATCTTGAGCCGGTTTCTCAAACGTACCTACCCCACCTTTAAGTAGAAGCAAATACAGCAAAGTAATAGGCTCTAAAAGCTTGATTATATCTAAAGAGAAACAAGAACTTTTAACTTGGAGAAGATGGTAAAGGAGAAGAGAGATTTTAAAAGAAGGATTTTGGGATTAGAAATGTCAGCATGCTTGAGAACTTCGGTCGGCTGATGCTGTACTCACTGGAGATTTTTTACTCACTGGAGATTTTTTATCGATGGGTTTGATGATGAACTTCTTATCGTTGAAGGAAATGTTCCTGATCTCACTCCAGGGGAAGCCAATCTTTGGGGTCAATCTGAGGAAGAGAGCACATGAACACAAACGTTTAACTCTCATACTATACTAAGGGCAAACAGAGGGTTTATTTATTGATTGTGATTCTAAAAAGAGACAAAATATACATATATTCATTTTAAAAAGGCCAAAAGCTTTGGTATCTTTACAGACCAATGTTAGACCAAATTAAAAACAATCTGATCCAAAGCCATGTATTTATGCTTTGGCTTTTTATCTCTGGACTTTTATTCTTCAATAAAAATAGAAAAAAAGTCAAATATTCTCTGGTTTTCGCTTTCCAAATGAGGATTGTCTTCTCTGTCATATAAATCAGCTAATTTAATATCTTTGGGTTTTGCACAATCAAAACAATGCCCAGATTAATTAATAATGATATTGATTACATTTTGCAGCCCTATTTATTACAGTAACACGGATAGTTCAAGTGTAATGTAGACATAACCAGACACAAAGTAAATCCTTTATTTTGATCAATGCAGCATACTGTCATTTTAAAATAAATCTCTCGCTTGATTTCTGAATCCACAGTTTGAGTACGAGCGATGAATCTGGGGTGTGGCTCTCTCTCTATTGTGCCAGACAAAGTGAACAGCTGCCAATCTCGTTCAGTTCAACACAGAGTCGCACTGTAAATCCAGAAAGGTGTTGTAATCCAGAAAGGATCGCAGCGAAACTCAGCTGTGAAACCACACCGCCTGAACAGGAATTTCTCTCAATTACTGACCTGACACAAACAATGTGGAAGTTATCTCAGCGAGTGAATATTTCTATAAGAATTTGGTGTTAGTTCAAGCTCTGCTGGTTTCATCAATGGATTCATGTTAGTAGAAAATATTTTTGTATCGGTGCGGGTTATAACATTTGAGACACTGCGATTGGTGAACATGTCGCTGGAGTTCATTAGAAAGTCTTATAATGATGGCTCTATATATATATATCTATAATTGTAATATGTATACAAAAATATACCAATAAATTACCACCAACTATTTTCACAAGTGATTTATAGTTTGATGACTGATTTTAAATGCCATTTTCTTAATGTCTTTCATTTTTTGTAAAGCACTTTGAATTGCCTTGTGTTGAAAAGTGCTATATAAATAAACTTGCCTTGCCTTGAAATTTGGCAGAAAAGGATTTTTATATCATAAAAGTGGATATCTTTTGGTTGTTGACTTACAAAACAAGACGTTTGAATGCATAAACTTGGATTTTGATGGACAATTTTCACTATTTTCAGACTTTTTATAGACCAAACAAGACAATAAACTGAGGTTTATCGATAATTGAGTTGTTTTCTTAATGAATCCATCGGTCGGTTGGTCTATATATTTTCCTAAATAGTGGGAAACGTCACTAAAAAATGTAAAAAATCCAAATATATTAAGTTAATTCTAAAAAAACAAACAGCCAATCCTAACATTTGAAAAGCTGAAACCTACTGTATGAGTGTTTGCCTTTTTTCAATTGTCAAAAATCGTATATCTGGCACGTTTTGGGAGCTAGATACCAAAGTCACTTTAAAGTAAAAAAATATTGTTTCTATTATTTCCATTTCAGATAAAAACTAAAAACTGTTTTTTAAATGCAAATCCAAAATCAGAACAAGTGACTCTTCCCCCTAGGCCACAATCAACAATTGACACTTTTTTCTTTTAACTATTTTATCTATTTTACTTTATGTTAAGTAAGTTGAATGTTGGAGGAGCTTGAGACTCAATATCCCCATTGCAAAAACCTATGCTGTAGCAATTGTGCATTTAACAAATAAAGTGTTTAAATCCTTTAAAAAGCAGATAAATAAAAGAAAGAATAAGTGATTTAGATGTCTGGCATTGACAGTGAATTCAATTGAGAAGAAAGTATGTCCTCTAAAGTGAGCAGCGCTGTGTGTAGCAGAGCAGGAGCGCCTAAGGAGTTAAACCGGCAGCAGACTGTGAGCCTCGGCTGCACTGTTGTATTGTGGGCCGGCCACTCTCCGTTGTAGGTTAGCCTCACATTCTTAAGTGCGGCACAGCTTGAAAAACCAGTCGGCGTAGCCATGGTTACGACAGAGGGCACCGTGGAGGAGAGGCCTTTCTTTGCTGATCCCAGGGAGCACATAAAGAGACAAACTCACACAGATGGCTTTGTTTAAAGGGGTTTCTCGCTCTTAAAACCACAGCGAACATATAATAAGGCTAAATGAGAGACTGGATGAACTTTAAGACAATAGCAGTTACAGTTATTAAATCATTCAGACTTCTGACGCTCATACACGGAAAGAATCAAAGGTTCAAATAAAGGTTAAGCAACTTCCTCTTTCATTTCTCCCACTAACAAAGTAGACCACACCGCTTTCAATAGACACAGGGTGTTTCTCTATGTCGAGGAAGGCTGCTCCAGAGCCACTATTTCAAGGATGCTACGTCATCGAGTGCCGCCGAAGGACTGTTCCAATGTCCAGGATCCTTGGAAATCTACAGAGGCCGGCGTACTTCGTTGCGGGAAATTTCGAGGCTGCACATGTTGTAGACTCCGTGGTCTTAAAATCCCCACAATGCTTTGCGCACGGACCAATTTCCTTTGGCGGAAATCGCGCTCCATTTAAGGCGGGGCCTCGCATATGACGCACACCTGCACACCTGTTCCACCATTCTTCGTTTTCCCGAGTCAAGGAGGGATTGTTGCCTCGCTTCTGAAGCAAGTGACTCGGAGGTACATGTGCTACCAAGCAAGCGTCCTCGACATTGAGCAGCCAGTTGAACATGGGAGAAGCCACAATCTGGTGGTGAACAATAAACCCAGCCAGAGCAGAACAGCTGGATGGATTTCCAGCTCAGGGTCAGTGCACCAGGGATGAAGTGCTCCTTTAACACACTTCACTGCAGTGACCCCCTTCAGATAAGGCCAGGACCCGGGAGACTCACTTCACCACAAAGACAGTGATTACCTCCCAAACTGTCTTGCCCTACATACAAAGTGGCAATCACAACCAAGGACAGGCTGGATGGCACAATCATGAAAACTAACAAAGAGAAATGTTTCCCTTTCATACGGCCTGTGGATTGACAGGAGAAGAACACTCAAGTACAGACAAGTCTGAGGTTAAAGCCACCATTTACTCTAAAACGGGACACCTAAGACAAAATAGGAAAAATAAGGTCAGCAAGTGTACTGTATAGCGGGGATTTTATGTAAATAATCTTTAGTATAAATGGCACACAAACGTATACTCTGTGCTTCAGGGGTATGTAGAGGAATAAATGTACCTTTATAAGTAGAGAAGTGTGAACAAAAGACCTATTTATACGATGTAATTACATGAAACGGTGACACATGCACAATTATATGCACCAACGGCAAAAATTGGATATCCCATGTATGAATACGTAACTGGAAAAACTGCTCATAGGTGGAATCAGCTTCAAAATGGCCTTTAGTTATACATTTTTTTGTCATTTCTAAAACAGTTTAAGCTTCTAAAAACAATGTTTTTCATATAAATGCTTCTGTTCTAGGTTGTGTTTCTGCTTTAACCCTTTGAATTGTTTAACTGCTTATTAGGGAAGCTTTGCTCTGAATGGATTTCCCCTTATTAAATAAAGGTTATCTATATGTCTACTTCACAACTTTAAGATAAAAAGAGATCATCTCAGCTCAAATCTGCAAAAGAACAGACAATGAAGAGACACAAAAGCAACTGCCGAGTTATTTGTCCGTGTCTTTGGAGATACTCCTCCCTTAGACTGTATTCATTTGGCCCTCATTGCTATTCATGTCATTCTGTCTGCAGAGGAACAGGAATAGTGATGAAGCTCAGACATGCTCATCCAGTATAGCTCTGTGTCACAGTGACTGCAGGAGGAACAGACACTAACAGCAGAGTTTCAAACAAGGCGCTTACTTGTCGTCCTTCTCGTAAATGTTGAGTCCCAGAGCGTCCACTCCCAGCCACAGCTCGGTTCCCTTCTTGTTCTTGATGTCGAAGTAGTTGACTCCATACATCTCCAGGTCCTGGGCGATCTTCAGGTACTCCATTATAGCGTCCTCCCTGTAAGGATACACAGCATTCAGTTATCATCATTTAAAATCCATACTTATTGACTCAGTGAGATTATATAAAAACACACACTCACTTCAGCATGCCGTGGTGCTCCTCGTGCCACACCTGAATCCTCTCCTCCCATTGTTCTCTGGAGAGTTTGTGCTGCTCCTGGACTCTGAAGGAAGACAGAAGAATACAGAAAAGGTCAGCTACATCACTAAACAGAGAAGAACATCTACTTGTTTAAAGAGGCCCTATTCATCTTTTTTGGATGTTCTCTTTCCTGTAGTTTATCATAAAGTCGTTTGTAACTGTAAATGGTTTGTAAAGGCTAAAATCCTGCCTCAAACTCCTCCATTGGACTCCTTTGTTTACCTCCATAACATAGTGACATCACTATGTTACACTCTCGCTTCTATTGGCTAGCGCTTCAACACATTGTACGTAGGGCTGCTCAATTAATCGTAATTACGATTATGGCTTGCAACGATTACGAAAACAACGTAATCGAAATAAAACGATTATTTTTATATTATTATTATAAAAAAAAAAATTGTATTGGTTTTTCAGTTGAATTATACTTAAAGTTCAGGGTAATCAACTGTTAAAAACATACTGTTCACATTTTTTTTTCTCCAATAAATTGATGTTTTCAAAGTAAATGGATAATCGTTTTTAATAATCGTGATATCAATTATTGACCCAAATAATCGAGATTATGATTTTTGCCATAATCGAGCGGCCCTAATTGTACGTAATGGGCTAAGGGGCGGGACATCTCTAAGCGGTTAACCAATCACAACAGAGCCGGCCAGCTAACCAATCAGAGCAGACTAGGCTCTGGTTTCAAACAGGTTGCGAAAAGAGGTGCTGCAGCACAGGCAGTATGAGAAAGAGCTTTTTGAAAAGAAATACTAACCTCTAAAATAGCATAATAGGGCCCCTTTAATAGGTAACGTAATGCTCTATTGTCATGCAAGAATCGCATTGAGCAAATTCCGGGTTGAGAGAAGGTGCAAAAGGGTGTGTGCTGCTGGCATTCCAGCCGCTTGAAGTAAAGACTGACACCTACATAACCACATAACCCAATTTACTCATGTTAACTTTCTTCATTATGCGTTCTTAAATTAGAATTTTTTTTACTTTGATGATGGAAATAATCCTAGCGATGCAGACTTAATGTTAATATCGGATTAAAAAAAGCATTTTGTAACCATGACAGATACAATAAAACTATCTGAAGCAACCTGTGTTTCCTACAGTTTTCTTTTTTTGCAGCAACAATGCAGGAGATTGCGACAACCTCAGCATCGTCACAATACACAGTGAATAACAGAAATACCTCTAGAAACTCAACATGTCAAGATACAGGAGATAAAAAAATCATCATGTACTTGACAGCATATTTGAGCTGCGGTTTTTTCCCTGAAACGTAATCCTGTTTGTTTGTTTTCGCTTCCAGTTGTCACTGTTGAAGTATTTAGTCCCTTCCCGTAAAATGTTTTATTAAATAATGACATGATGCAACAACCGTTATTCCTTCCAGTGCCAAAGCTAATAACATCAGTATAATACGGCAAATGTTTCACTTCATTACATCTTCCCTTGTGATGTGGGTGTTAACACAGCAGCAGAGCTTCTCTCTCACCTGTGTGGCAGCAGGCGCTCGGACAGCAGGTATCCGGGCTGGTGCACCTCTTTGTTGTAGTCTCCAAACTTGGCCTGAACGGAGTACGAGGCGAGCAGCACGGCCGTCTCCGGGGGACAGTACACCTCGTCGCTCAGGATGCCCTCCTTCACCTGCAGGAAGAACAGCTTCTGCGTGATGTCCTGGATCAGCTCCTCGGACACGTCCTCCGGGAAGAATTTGGCCCGAAACTTAAATTGCAGCGGGTTCTCCTTCTTCACGTCCTGGGACGACACCTGGGGAGGAATTACGACAGATTTTAGGAACATTCAGTAACAAAACAATACAAAAAAAACACAGGAAATAAAACAATGAATTCCCCATGTTACAGGCTGTTTTTGCCAGGGTATTTATTGGCTAGAAGTTAGGACGGCAAAAATAGAATTGTATTACAGATAACATTATAAAACCCTCACAAGACGTTGATTGTGGTGGTTTTCCATACTCAGGTTAACGTGAATATACACGCACATGAGACTCTTAAGTTTGCTAACATGGTAAAGAAGTATATTAACAATCATGTAGGATTTGTTCATCCAGAAATAATTGCGTGGCCTTTTGGTGAATATTTAATTTAAAGTGATTTTGATACATTTAAAAAATTGATTTTACATTCTTTTTTAGTGCCATGTTAAGAGTTGTATGCATATGTTGATGATCATCTGAATAATACTGTAAACTGTGATTATGTTTGCCAAGATAATCCTGTCATGAAATGTCCATATCCTCTCATGCCGAGCTGAGAGATGTCACTTTCAGTGTCCATTGGTTGCTTTGCAGCTGGTTCTGTTTTAATAGTATAAATGTCTTTGTATATAATGTGACTTTTAAACCCGTTTTTGCTACAAAATAATAAAAGCCAAGGACACAATTAAGTACTTGGCTGTCTCACTGTTAATACATATGGAAACAGCTTCCAGTTCCGCAGTTTAATAGCTGCTCTGCACTAACTGAAAGGGGATCTACCACAATCGGTTAGTGGAAATACACTTGAATGACTCTGGGCTACAGTAAGTGTTCACACAATGTGCCTCTTCCACTCATTTAAAAACAGGAACCGAGCGGTCTTGATGGAGAGAATGGGGGCTGGGAATATTCCAGTTTGAGAGGCATTGTGCAGCCGCGCAGCGTCAGCACTCAGTGAACCGTTTACTGCAGCTGACTGAGGCTTCACCCTCTCTCAATTACCCTTGCTTATGATTATAAAGAAAAAATAGACGACTTTTGAAGTGTCTTCTCATATGTGTGTTTTCCAACATTTGTTTAATTTAGGAAATCATTGTTAGATCAAAAACAGTCATTATCTTATCCCTGTATGTTTAATAGTCTGTGGTCAATGTTGCACTATGAAGCATCTGAGCCAGTAGAGTCTGGTTTGTATTTGTAGGACTCCACGTGGTTTGTTTTTATGTTGGCGTTACATTTCTGCCTCAGGTGGTTATTGTAGTCATGTTTCTGTGGTCGACATTTTAACGACACTTGTGGATTCTATTTCTGTGAAAGGTGCTATAATAAATAAACATATTATTATTTTGTACTCCAACAATTAAGAATCTCACTCTTATAACATTGTCGAACTCACAATGCAAAAAGGATCTAAATTGATGCATCAGAACCAACCCATGATGACTCAGGTGACATCACTTGAGGTAGTTTATCAGTTCCCACAACTCCCTCTGAAGCCAAAACTTTTCGTTTTATTTTACCATACAGTATGAAGTACGACTCTTTAAGATCTGAAAACATTCCAGAAAATTCTAAATGCAGAACCAAAAGGTCTAAAATGCTGCAAGGGTTCTGACATCTTTTAGAAACTGTGATACAAAAATGGCAATTCTGCTCGTTTGCAGTCCCAACGTCATTATTCTGGCTGATTTCCTTTTTGCATGACGTATTAAACACGTCTGGGATCAGCTTCATGACCAACAGCCAGTGAAGGTACTGTAACCTCTGTTTACTCAAGAGACAAATAATAAATAAATCCTCTGGCTCATTCATCTTGTGGACACAGAAAACTACGAAAGCAGCAGCTACAGTATGTTGTAGTTGGACAAATATAAACATATTATAATACTGGGGCTAATGATTGACTGGAAAACAAACAGCAGAGCTCAACGCTTTGTTATTTAACCAGGGAGCATAACCATAACCCAGATGGTATCGTCATACAGTAGGTAACAACCTATACTCAACCTATATTGTTTAATAAATGGCGTGACAGTATGAATAACATTGTGTGGTCAAATTCTTCCCAGTATTTACAATTATAATGATTAATGACTAAATGATGGAAGTATTATATCACGTTGGACTTGTTTTTCCTCCTACCCTAATGATCTGATAACACTAATATAATAACTTGAGCATTCAAAAGATAGACGGATTATTATGACACAATTAAAACAAAAAAAATCTATTTTTAGAGATAGATCTTACCTTTTTGTCCAGTTTTAGCCAAGTGTAGTAACCTTTGCTATCCATATACTGAAGTCCGAAGTACCAGACCTCACGCAAGCCGATGGTTTTCACCACCTGAACAGAGAAAGGGGAAAAGATTGAAGATTATTTTTATGAAGAGTACTGGTTTGGTCTATAAAATGTAAAAAGACAACTGTTTTAACTGTACACTGAACTGTGTGAAAAAAAGTGTCAAATCACAACTTCTCAGATCCCAAGTTGACGTCACCAAATGGAGTCAGTTTATTTAGCAACAAATTGTAGTAAGTCCTTTTTTTGGGTAGCTGCAACCTGAGATATTAATGCCCTTTTGCACAATTTCTGCTTGAAAAAAGACTGATACAATGAATTGATGTTTCAAATAGTTTCTGATTGTTTTTCTGTCAATCGTATAATCGTATATGCTCTAAAACCGACACTTTGAAAACCTTAACGTCAGTTTTCCACATCACCTAGATAGATAAAAGGACATTTCACATTTTCTTCTCAGAATTAACCAAGCATTAACTGCTCTTCTAGGAAAACGGACTTCGAGATAACGATGTACAGTAGTAGTCAACACTTAGAGATCACACCTCAAAAATCAATTAGGGAGTTCAATGTTTCCAATACATTTGAATGAATCACTACCAGTTTTATCCCAGTGTAGCAGGGAGTTGTGAAACGATCAACCTTAAGGTGGCATACTCAGGTACCTAATCTGCTCACTTCCCTCATAGTGTTACACGTTCACAGGCCTGAGGATGGACGTGGCTACAGTAATGATTTAAACGGTAAACTACAGCCAAAACAAATAAAATTACACTCTTAAAAAAACACCACACGATTGTTCTCCTCAGCACTTTGGCAAATATATTTCCAGACAGCCAGATTGTCTCATGGATGGTTACCACCGTCACTGCGGGTGTTCTCAGACCTCGGTGTTGTTTGCTTTGTTTGGACTAATTTGATATAATTGTTGCATTTACTCCTTGATTGCCGTTTAGGAGTTGTAAACAAATCCATGGGCAAACAAGCAAGCTGTCCTCTCATTGGTCAGAAATATCACAGTGGAATTCATCTCAAAACCTTCCTCTAAATACACAATCACCGGCTATAGACTTGAACTAAAACAAGGTCTTGATGCATCTTATCAAGAGTCCACGATGGATCCTCAGAAGGCAAATCAGATAAGACTACGCTTATTTATCAAAGTCAGCTGTTTTTTTTATCCATAATTTCAATTATTATATTCAAATTGCTTGATTCATCCGACCAACATCTTAAGTATTAACAATTCTATGTAAAATAGTCCCAGATTGGAGGCCTTGGTTTAAGATGAAGAACTACATAAAGCTAAGCTTGTGAGCCAACATCTGGAAAAACAAACCAACACAAAATGAGCACAAATGTAACTTTGGGTAATAAATAGTTATGGTAAGATTTGTTAATAAAACTGCTACATTAAGACTCTTTTCTGTACTTGAAGTAACACTTAGCTCACATCTCTTTCTGTTGCAATATGCCGCAGCACACAAGCCAACGAGGGCCGGTCTTCAACAGAGTGGCCCTATTGTTTGACCGCTGAGTGATACTGTATGAGGAGGGCGTGCTGCATGACCAGCATCCTGTCTCTGACTCAAGGAACAGACCGAGAGGGAGGCTGCTGTTACTTTCTGGCAAAACTGCAACCGCCAGAACTGCTGCTCATTATTAACGTCTGAAGGACAGATTATGAGCCTGGTTTAATTTCAACCGCACTGGAAACACTTTTTAAGATCAGCAAGATTTGAAGACTTTTGCAGCCCTCTTTTGACTGTGCAGCTGAGGCAAAAAAGTCAAAAACTTACTTCTGAAATAATCACTTGTGCTGCAGAAGGAGTTCCCATTTTCCACTGGGTTTCAGAGGAAAAACCTCAACGACCAGAGGCTCTTTGTGGCCTTCAGAGAGGCAGAGCGATTTTTCCAACAGCAGCATCATCTCATGTGTTTGTGAGTGTGCTGTTAAGTGCGACAATATCTGAGCCGGGCCCTTTTTGAACAAATCACTGCTAAATTCCCCACCCAGTCACCAGGTGAGGTGTTAGGCTGCCTGGAAAAAGTATGAATCAACTAAATGGCACTCAAGCCAAGCAAATTCCCAATTGCAAAATCCAGCAAGGGTTAAAACTCAAATCAAACTGCCCCCGCTTTTAGTGGCCAATGCAGGGCAGGCTGACCTGTGGGAGTGAAAATGAATGGCTTTGATTTAGGGGACTTTTCTGATAGATTGTTTTTTGTGCGACAACAACAAGCAGAGGAGGAGGGGGGGGGGGGGGGGGGGGGGGTGAAACGAGAGAGCACTTCAGGCTGCATCTCACCTGTAATGAACTCATAAGGACTCAGAAAACAACCAGCCCTTTCATGGGGGTTTCGCTTCGGGGTCTACAGAGTGATACGCAGAAAAACAGAGTGGGCTACCATTCAGATAAATGAAGCATTTTCTCAGGGGTACAGCTGCTGAACATTCTGACAAGGAGGTAACTATTTAACCTTTAGCAACATTGTAGTTCATTTCACAAATAGATAAACTAGTTTTTAATAACATGCTGTGTACATGGTATGAGCAAAGGCTGGCAAAGGATACTGAAAATAGTACAGTTCATTAGAGGAGGATTACATCTGAATGTGGGGACGCAGGTTTAGTAAACTATCGCAGCAGGTTGCTTTGGCATGCTGCCTTGACTTTAATGTGTTGCTATGACGGGCTGATGTACACTGATGCTAAAAGCTACTAACAACTGAGATATGCACTCAAAGTAAGTTTAATTACCCAGAAAACCCAAATAAAAAAAGGTGTATCTCAGCAGGGTCACGTCAAGATACATTTAAGACTTATAAAGAATCATACCACATCAGTATCAGTGCTTTGATGTAAAGTAGAAAACAAGTACCGGCACATTTTCCGAATTTTGACATATACTTGGTACCGCAGAATTAGTTCTTGTGACATCCTTAATAGATAGATCTAAACCTCTCTCGACCCGCTTCTTCAGACCCGCTTCAGGTTGGAGTAGCACCAGTTGCAGTGCCACATAGGAAGAGTTTGCATGACTTCAGTCTGCAGCGTTACAGCGATCTGAAAGAGTGAGAGTTTCTCCTCCTGGTTTATGGGCGCTCAGGCTCTGTGGTGAAAGTGAGGAATGCCACTGGGCTGAAGGAGCAGTATTCACTACATCCTCGGGGCTGAATAACGTGGAGTACTCCAGCGACTCAGGAGGGGAAGGGAGGGGTTCGCCCAGAACAAAGATGAAGGAGTGTGTTTGGTGGTTTTGAGGGGGCAACTGGCCCAAAGAAAAAGCGTGTATTACTGTCAAACCACACATTATTGCGGCTGAACAGTAAAAAGGAGTTTGACAAAGATTGTAATATTCAAAAACAGTTCTGCTACACTACTCCAGCACAGAATGATGCAATATGTTCCCTCTCTTTGGTTGAACAGGCAGATTTTGAATGTGGCTTTGACATGTGGGTTGGGTTTATAAGAGAACTAGTTTCATATTTTGCTTCTGGCACCTGTCAACCAGATTATTCAGTTCATGTTTTCAGATGTCAGCCATCGACCCTTTTCCTGTTGTGAACGGATCTAAACCAGTCTGAGGCTGACAGCCTTTGTAACCACATTAACTTCGGAGAGATCACCAAAACAGACGGACAGAACTAACCAGAACATCTACTGTAAACGACACCTGTAATGGCGGCTGAAGTCAAAATGAAACCAGCAGCAGTGGAGTGTCTTATGGAAGTGAAACTGTGTGAAGGTGTGTAGGGGAGTGGCAGGAGTTGTTCTTTACGAGGGTTATGATGAGAAATGAGCTCAGTGCTGTTACTCCGCATTTCCACTGAAGCTGTCAAAACTGTGAGAGTGTGCTTGCGTCTTTGCAGCCGATTACTGCCAAAGCAACCGTTTAAAACTAAATCAGGATGCTGACAGACACGACCGAAAAATGTCAGCTGAATTCAAAATGCAGACAGTGAACAGCTGCTCAGATTTCATATATCGATCTTTAATTTAACTGGGAAATCTAAAACCAGTCTGAAAAGTGAAGCCAATGCTAAAGTGCTTTTCACTTCCAGGAGGAGGCGACTCCACTAGTTGCAAAATGAATGAAGTCACATTGTCTTAAAGTCTACGAAACTATTTCTCACTTGAATTATTATACCATAAAACATTTTTGACCCAAATGCTTGTTTCATGTTATCCTCAATAAATGATGACGGTAATTTCGTAAATTGTGGCATTATCTTGAATAAAATAGCCAATTTAGCAGCAAACTTGTGATTGACAGGTCATTGCTCCGGTGTTATTTGGTCTGTGCGCTCTCCATGTTCCCATTTCTAATATGCTTTTAGTTGAATGTAAAATGTTGGTTGTCTAAAAATGGCATTAGGTTGCAAAGAAACAAGATGGCGGAGGCCAAAATGTCATACTCAAGGCTTCAAAACCCTTGTCCAAAACGTTGAATATTATTTACAACATACCGTATCAAAGGAAAAAGAAATCCAAGGCACAGAGAAACATAAGTAACCTATTCAAGTAATGAAAGATTAAGGTAATTAATCTACTAAAACAAGAACAACTTCAGAGAATGAAATAAAACATTTAATCTGCACTAAGGATTGAAGTGGAGAAAGATTGTTTTGTATATGTTCTCATCAGGTGGGAAGTTTCCCTTGCCCCTAATTAGTCAATTGTATCTTGTTTGAACTCAAATAGAGCACTGAACTGTCCCTGACACTATCACAGGGAGAGAGGGATCATCTGTGGCACGCCCCTACTGAGAGCCATTCTAACAAGTAGCCGGGGGAATTCACCATCCCCTATAAATAGGGAGATGTCAAAGGCGAAATCTGGGTCTTCCTCAGCTACTCCTTTCTAAAAACAAATCAGCAGCTTTAACTGTCAACAAAACTAAGTATCCATAGTGCTGATCTGTTCAAAACTAACCAAAGGGCATCCATTCACACCAGTGGCATCAATATCACATACAATACAAACCATTTTGAATGAAGATGTTGATATTTTGGGGATATTGTTCATGGCTATATTCAGATGTTTTCACCTGAAATGTTCCCGACACAAAGGCTGAACCCCTTGACATGCAGGCACAATACACATAGTTGGCTACACTTGCTATTGAAAAACGAGTTATACAGGAAGTTGTTTAAACAATGTGTTTCCTCCCCCGATGCTGTCATACAGCCTCAGAGGAGCTCACGCTAATTGCATGTCATACATTTGGATTTCCGCGACGGAGTTTCACAATACAATTTTACAACAAGAGGAAACGAGCAAACTTAAAATTCCTCGCTTAAAAGTATTGACAGGAGCCACAAAGGTCATGGAGAATATAATATCACTTTTAGATATTACATAACCACATCCTCAACACACACCTAATCAAAGAGCCAACTATCAGTTTGAGCTCAAATGACAGCGGGATAATTTGATAATATCAAATATGTCTCAACCTTTGATTTGATAACTTTATATAATGTGTTACACGAGTGACCTTGCCTTAAAAAGGTGACGGAAATTGTTTTTATTTCCATTACATCGTGGCCACACCTTTTACTCTGCACTGCTTTCATTCAATAATGCCATTCATATTTAGTTTAATAAATGTCTGAAGTTATCTTTGTTCACTTTTGTTAAGCTGCCATTTTTCATTACAGGAGGAAGCCATTTATAATAACCCCTGAACCTCAGTGTGAACAAAGAGACTGATAAGGACACTTGAAGCAGAAAGCTCCTGTAATCTCTGTCTGTAGGAGATAACTGTTCAGACCTGGATGTAATGAATGGAAAGAGCTTTGGAGGGATGATAACGAGAGCAGACACTTGCTCCTTTCCTTACACAGACTGCTCGGATAAATCAACCAACATTAGTTAAAGGGAGTGATAGATACCACACCAATGTGTGTGCGTTAACTACGTAGCTGGTGCCAGATATTGGTTAGCTTAGATTAGCATAAGGACAGGGTCTTTTCTATCCAAAAGGTGAAAAATCCACTGTCAACCAGCACCTCCTAATATCACTGATTCACACAATACACTTTGTTTGAATAACCTACAGAAAACTATTCATTCTATTTCATTTTGAAATAATACTTTCTTGCACAATAATATCCTGCATTATATTTGTTACTGGAAATTTGTATATTTTCCACATGTATATATATATTGTTTATTTTTTGTTTTATATTCTTAAACCTTTTTAAATGTGTAATGCTATTTTATTTCTGAAATATTTTTGGAATGTTTATTTCTTGTGTCTTAATTACTCTTATGTACATTGCCTTGTGTTTTGTATGCTGCTGCAATGCAAACATTTCCCGAATTGGGATCAATAAAGTACCTATCTATCCATCTATCAACCCATACCACTGGAACTCAATGGGCTTACTTGTATTGATATTCTTTATAACAAATGTATCCATTCAAAAACTGTTGGAATAAACTTTTTTTTTTTTCTTTTAAACCCTATTGATAACATATTTATAGGTCAACACTGTGGCTTGAGGACGGTCAACACAGAGCTGGTGGGACTGTACCTGGTCGAACAGCTGCTTGCCAGTGGTGCTGGGCTGGATGGCAAACTCCAGCTCAGCGTCCATGGTGGTGACGCGAACATTGAGCTGTGGAAAAACATGAGAAAGAGAGAGTTGAGAAGCTGACCCAGAGCAACAGAGAGGTTCTCACAGGTAAAGGGCCCATACGAGGTAAACCAGAATACAGAACACTGCTGTGGGGGGTGTGTGTGTGTGTGTGTGTGTGTGTGTGTGTGTGTGTGTTTTGTAAGGGGGTGTATTTGCACAGTAAACACACAGGGCTCTGTTTATCTCTGCTTACGGGCCCATTGAAGGGAATTCTGCTGCAAAATCTGAGGTGTTCTTTGTACGAATAATCAGTGCTAACTTTTTCATTTGAAAGAACATACAAGTTTTAAGAAGTGGCCACCTCCCATTTTAATTACTGAACTAAGAACAGGTACGATAGATGTTATTCTGCATGACTAAACTGAAGAGAGGAGGGATAAAATAAGTCAGCTACTTCAGTCAGTCACTCCCATTCACAGGAAAATCTCTTTCAGTTCTCTAGTTAATGTTTGATCAGAGTGGCCTGCGCATACACAAAGAGGAGGTCCATCTAACTGAAACCTGCTTCAAGAGGAGAGAATTGAATATCCACTTACTCGGACACACCCCAGTGATTAATGTCCAATTGAAAACCATTACAAAAAGCATGACTGAATAATGACAACTGACATCAGCTGTGTGCCATGATGACAATAACAATATTCTGCTTTGTAAGTTTGATTCGTTAGTAATCAGCAAATGGCATCTGCATTTCACACAAAAGGCCATGCAACAGTGTACAAATATTTACAATAGCTGCTTTGAAGTAATGCACATACTGACTCTCTTCTCTGTGGGGATAATGTCAAATGTGTCTGGTATTTGCGGGGGTTATGAAAAGACCCTCAAAGTATTGACTGAACTTATTAATGCTCAGTGAAAATGACACAAAGAGGCCGTTGGACACAGGGTGAAGAGAGAGGAGTCGTGCTAACAGAGACCTCCAGTGACATCTTTCATCTCCAGCCCATTGTGAGCGGGCGCTGGACAAATTCAATGACGCCTACTGGAAAAGGGATGTCTGAGCAGCGGCGGTGACTCGTCTGGTGATTCGTCTGGTGATTCGTCTGGTGATTCGTCTGGTGATTCGTCTGGTGATTCAGAGCTCCACTGATTCCTATGAAGCTACACAGGATGAGCAACTAACTGACAGGCTTAAATCCTGCAGAGCGGGCAAATCCAATCAGCGTTGGATGGAAAGAGCGTCAGCACAGTGGTGTCCAGGATACTGTAAGAACAGGGTAGTCTAGACAGCGGATTTTCAAGGAAGCCTTATTATTTTTCCTCCATGCGTCTGCTGCTTTCAAGCACAGTTCGCACAATCACTTGGGATCAAAAACCAAGATCTGTGGCAGAGCTTCATTCACAAAAACTCCTCATAAGAGTTTGGAGCTCTGACCCAAAGTAACAAACCAAGTATGAATACATATATTAAGGATCTGTCAGCATGTGTTGCTTTAGAAACACTTACATGCATTAAAGGAAAGCTGGCAGTTTTTGAAAATATCTGGGGGAGCTTCATGGAGTTTTTGAAAAAGAATGTTGGTAATGATCAATAAAACCAAAGACCGGGGCGTGGAGGGGGGCAACGGGAATAAGATTATAAAGTGTAGGAGCCCATGTCATATTCTTTCAGATTTCTGTACTTTGTTATCCATGTATCATCTGTATACTGACCTGTGTTTATTATTTACATGCCTATTCATTTGATTGTACACTGTATCTGCCACCTAGACTGACCGTTTTATGTATGTGTAATGTTCGTTATATTTGAAAACTTCAATACAAATATTGTAAAAAACAAAAAAGCAGAAAAAAGCTCTGTCCCAAAGTGCCACATGTGTGTACAATTTGAAAACTGAGTCCAAAAAGGGCAGCTTATACCAGCTTCATGTCACGGCTTAAAAGCAGAGGAAGGAGGGGAAGCACTGCATTTACTTTACACGGCCAAACAAAGATCCCCTTTCAGAGCACCAACAGCCCCACGCGTCCATCATCTACACTCTAGGGGAGCCAGATGACCAAAAACGACCACGTAATTGGAGCAGAAGTGATCAGAAACTGCCCTAATAAGCGATATTTTCGAACTTGCCTTGTATAAAGGATTATATGATCTGGTAGCAGCGGCTCTGACACATACTGTATGGGGTGCTTCTCTCAACGTCACAGTCTATATACAGCCGTTACAGTTGGAGAACCTAGAATAACACACCCTAACCGTCAGAGAGTGGAACATGTGAATATGTGGAGCAGACGAGCCAGCAGAAACCACTGAGTGAGTGATATCTGATCGCAAAGTAAGTCCATCAACGGTAACTCACAATAAACTGAGGCCATTCAGAGCGGTAAAGAAAACATGACACATAGGCTAAAAATATAACGGGCAAGGACCCAGAGTTCCACAATGAGCAACTTGGTCAGAGGAAAGTGCAGACGCTCATATTAACCGTGTAAACCCCTGCTCCACGAGTCATAACAGTTACAACTTTTTAAGCTACGGGAGCAGTGGTTCCCAAAACAAAGCTATACACATGTTCACACTCTTGGTGCCAGATATAACACTGTGGTAGCCAAGAAACAATAACAAGTAGCACAAGCTTGATGGAAACACAACGGTTCTTAATTCTTTCATCGAGAAACACTTATTCTGAAAGTGTTTTGCAAAATAAGCTTATTCGCCAATAGTCAGACCTAAAGATTGATACCGATCTCATGTCTATTTGGTAAATACCGTATGTCGCTGAGCTTAGCATAAAGGCTAACTTGTCCCTGTAAATTCGTAAGAAGAATCCACCTACAAGGACATTTAAAGCTCGATAATAATGACCGTGTTTATCTCTCGTTTCATTTGTGCAAGACGTGCAAAGATGACACTTTGTCCTGTAAGGAGGGATTATATGTAATGTGTCAAATAGTAAGCTTTAGAGCTCACCTTCGGACAAAGCTAGGGCTGTTTCCCAAGGTTTACAGTTACTTTATAATGCTAGAAAAACAAGATCACATTCAAAAGATAATAGTCTATCATGTTAACCCTTTTGCCTTAAATATCAAGGTCCGACATTACATTGTAATATATATCCAAGATCTACAGCCCTGAGATCATCCACTAAACAACTACAGAGGTAACGTTGAGCTCACAGCTAGAGCTGATACCATCAATCAATTCCCAACTCAATGCACTGCTCAAGGCACTGTTCTGTAAATGAATCAATCAAGTCATTCCTCAAGAATGTCAAATATTCTCTAGATCCAGCTCGGCCTTCACATGTGATCCTAACCTGTAAACCATTCCTTCAGGCTTCTCAATGGGGAGGTTAAGGAGCTTCTCTGGGTCACGTTAAAGAAATGAGGCGGTCAACCTCAGTAGTTAAAGTGTGAATAGGTTGCACTGCATTCTTCAGTGAAGACCATTCAATATTTAACCCTCTGCATAGTTTGCATGGCTTTACAAGTGCCTCTTGCTATGAGAGTCACCATGGGGACTCGTCTGAAATGGCCTGAGAGTAATATAACCATTAACGGCGGCTATTATTGAGAGGGAACGGTCTCATTGTGTCCTTAATTTAGGTCTTAGGAAGTGACATATCTTGTAGGTGTACTTCCGCAGGAGAATGAGAGCTCAAGGACTCTTAAGCACTTTTGGATTTGTGAATCAGGTCTCCAGGGCGTTCCAGGCATGATTGAGTTATAAATGATTTAAAAAAGGAACAGATACTAACAATAGGGAATGGACGTGAAAAAGGAAACACCCATCCATGTTGATCATGACCGCGCCTTGTATGGTTTGTGTGACTGGGCTGTGACCGCGAGGAAACAGGATTCTGGGAGAGCCAAGGAGCGCGATCCTTTACTTCTGACAATGTGTCATTCAGATAAGTGAAACATGAGTCACGCAGGCAGAAATACAGAAGCCTCAACTGCTCCTCAACACTGGTCAAACGTCTTGCCGCTGGCCCTCTCGGTCATAAATGTTTCCCTTATTCAAAAAATGTTGGAATGTTTGATTTCATGCCAGGTATCTGAGCTGTAATAATCAGACTGCCGGGAGGTTTCTGTGCCAGTCTGCTTCAAAACGTAAGGCACTTTGATTCTGTTTGATATTTGCTTTTCATGGCCTACAGCTTCTTGACAAACTAATACAAATACCTTCATTTGGTAATAACCTTTTACTGGTTTTCAAGACGTCATTTGATGTACGGCAAACATTATGACCATGAAATGAATACAGATAGTTTTGGAAGCTAAAAAGTACATTTATGTATTTAACATCTCCATTTCACAAATGTATATTTAATGTTTGAAATTATACTATAGATATGTGTAGGGAATTAAAATAAGGGTTCAATTTTAATAATTGTTCAACTTATTGGATAATCAATTTATCTCTTTTGGGGGTTTTTTTAAACCAAAATGCCGAACAAATTGAGAATGTGCTTATTTTTATTGTAATAAAAGACAGTCAATTTAATATCTTTGAACAAAACAAGTACATTTAAGGCATTGCTGTGCGCTTGGAGAAATTGCAAATGCTAAATATATTCAAACAAAGTAAAGATTAAACGATTATGAGTCATCGAGAAAATGATGAGCAGATTAATCAATATTAAAAGTACTCCCAAAATACGGCTCCAAAGTACCACAAGGTGTATCTGACTGTAGTTTGGGGTTTCTTGTCACCATCATGGCACCATCCCCTGCCTCCCACACGAATATGTTTCAGCTACAGCCTGGAGCCACTGAAGCTGGTTAGACTAGTAATCCAATTTAACATTTCTCACAGAACTCAAAATATGAACCCGTATGTACAACCAGGCTCAAAGTGAAACTCAGCATTTGCTGGATTACTTTGAGAGGAAGCTTTCGGGTGGAAACCAGATCAAAAGGAGCAACTTTAATTAAAACAGACTTAGTGTCCTATTGATATTACGTTGCAAAAGCTGCTTCAGTCATGAGGTCACATATTGAACACTCAGTAAACCAGAGGGTAAGATTTCAAAAGCATGGCCTGTAGTCTTCTCTGGATATCATGGAAAGGGAAACGGTGTTGAAAAAGACGGCTATTTTGTGGTAGCTGGACCCGGCCGCTATCAGACAGTAATGATGTCATTTCCACGGCAACGCTCATGACAACCATGAGGCCTTTTCTAAACAAACCGACAACACACTTTATGACACTGACCGGTGCTTGAGTTTATGCCACCACAAAGATGCTGCTTCTTTCTGTGATGGTCTGAGCAGTGTTTAAGCAGCTATTTATGCTTCTGGTTTTAGTTTTTTCACTAAAATGTCTCCCATTGTTATTCTCTCTGACATGTTTTACTGAGCAACTGTCTGTTTAAGCATCTTAAGACTTAAAGGGGCCCTATAAAGATCATTTTCAGGTTTCATTATAAGATGTTGTGCCTCTACTGTGACATGCTGTAATGTTCAAAGAGTCCATTTTTCTCTCATACTGCCTGTGCTGCAGCAGCTCTTTTCACCCTCTGTCTGAAACCAGAGCCCAGTCTGCTCTGATTGGTTAGCTGGCCGGCTCTGTTGCGATTGGTCAACCGCTTAGAGATGTCCCGCCCCATAGCCCATCATGTACAATGTGTTGGAGCGCTAGCCAATAGAAGCCCGAGTTTTACATACATACTTGCTAACCTTGAGACCTCAGAAATCGGGGGCATTTCAAAACCACCGCGCGGGGGGGGGGGGGTTGCTAGTGGATCGCCGGCGCTGTTAGATTAACATTAACATGCTTATTGTAGTTCTAAGTGCAATGCCTAGTGGCCTACAGGAAAGGAGTGAGCAGAGGGTCGAGTTGTCGATTCTTGTTCTGTTTTCTGTGACTATCTTCCTCACCCTCTCAGACTTTCAGTTGCACGCGCTACTAAAGAGATGCGCTACCATGGAAACCAAACAATGGTGTAGCTGTATTAAAGTCCGAGTGGAAACAGTCGTGAGTAAATCTGATTTTGTCAGAAATTGGGAGAAATGCAGGAGAAATATGACCCCGGGAGGAAACCGGGAGAGGGCTATGAAATCGGGAGTCTCCCGCGAAAATCGGGAGGGTTGGCAAGTATGGTTACATAGTGATGTCACTATGTTCCGGAAGTAAACAGGAAGTCCAATGGAGGCGTTTCAGGCGGGAGGGGGGTAATGTGTGGTAGAGAAACTCCCTCTGGAGGGAACTTTGGGATTTAACCCTTTTCAGACCATTTACATGCACAAAAACCTATATAAACACACTAGAGGAAAGCAAAACTCCAAAAAGCATAATAGGGCATTAATCTCTTGTATTCTAGTTTTTAAATAAAGAAGGATAGAGATGTTTACTTTAAAGGCAGTACGTTTTACTCATATCCAACTATAACACATTTGTCTCATATTTTCCTCAATACTGTGGAACACATGGGCTGTTATTCTAGAAATGTCCACACAGCGAGCTGACTGAGTGACATGCTGCACGTGTGACAGAAAGTATGTCATAATCCCAGGGGTGGGGCACAACGAGTCCGGAATAATTGAGGGCCAAAAACCTGTTCAAATATATAGAACAGTTTCTTCAAATAACATCTCTTTTTGTCTTTTGTTTTGCTTTTTTATAAAGATGAAACTCATTGATACCGTGAACTGTAAGTCAATGTTTTTCCAAGTTTCCAAGATTTCAAGTTGACTATGTGAACCCAACATTTAAGTGAGGAGTAACCTCAAATTTCAGCCTAGAAAATAACTTCAAGAGACGAAGGGAGAACCCGGTATTCATCACAAACTCCTGAGGATATAAACATGACATTTTCCACCCCCGCTGTTTATCATGTTGTACATCATTACAGAGAATGAGGTCAAAGATACAGATCCTGTGATTATGATCGCCTACAGTGTTTAACATTGAAACAGTGCTTAACTGTCCATGTCTAGATTATAAATTTCACAATCACTGTTCCTAGCACAAGTGGATGATGTGCACTGAAACATATCGGACACCCCCAGGATATAACAAGCATGTGATTTGAGTTTCCCCCTCAGACCCTACTTATATACGTTTCTAAGAAAAATAATGCACATGAAGACCAGGAAAAATGACATGTTTCTGGTTGTCATTTAGCCCCAATAAATATTAATGTTAAATGTAAAGCCTGTACTTTGTTTCTGGCTTTAGACTTTAAACGCAGTGACAAGTTAAATACATGACAAATGCTTCACAGTGATTATTACTCAGCGTGAAACTACTCTGATATAGCATCACTTTAACATCTGTCACTCCCAGGAAGTGATTTATGATATATTCTTCCCCAAATAAGAGAAAAGGTTTATAACCAAACATAGGCTTTGACCTTTCAGACCTGAACAAATGAATCATGATTCAATGACTCACTCATTTCACACTAAATATAATATTCTTCATCAGTATCAATATGCTGCCATTGACTGTTTCACATTACCAAAACCTAAGTTGTCTTACAATAAGTTAAATTAGTCAGAGGGAGAAATACTCAGAAGTACCAGAGTAGAGGAATACTCTGTTACAAGTAAAAGTACAGAAGTATTAGCATAAAAATATATACTTAAAGTACCAAAAGTAGCCTACAAGTACTCTACTACTAAATATATTACATGTTACAAATCCTACCGCAAACAGAATATTTTAGGAAAGTGTCATCACCTGTCAAGTTTCAGTTAAGCACATAAAAAGGCAGCGATGCGAAGAGCATTGAGTGAAACATCAATAATGAAAAGTGTAACTCACCGCTTTAGGCATTTTTCTGTCTTTTTCCTCGCTCTGTTAAATAAAAAAGTGTTTCCAAAGGAGAGACCAGAGCTCCGTGTGCCTTCCTGAAAAGAGAGAAAGAAGAGAAACGAGTTTGAGTCTCTTCGGCGATACTTAAACCCGGCTGAGAGCGGCACTCCTGCGGAGACAGTCATCAGCTGAATCACCGACAGCCGCTAGCACAACAGCGCACCCGATTGAACTTCAAAATAAGAGCTGGTAACTTCTGATAAATCTCTAATTCTTTCACTTTACAAATTCTGAGATTATTTGTCCAATTTTGACTACATCAAACGTTATCTAATCCTATTTTTGTATTCCAACCATAAACATTGTTTCACTTATTTAGGAAAATAAAAGGTAAAGGTGCCACCATGTTGATCAGGACTTTGAAATCACTTTTTAAAAAATCCACTTTTTTAGAATAGTTTTGATGTGATTTTATGTTTTATTACTTGTAGTTTGTTTTACTCTCTGTGATTTATAATGTGTTTAGTGGCCATTCATTATTCTTTGTGTTTATCTGTTCTTATGTGAAAACCCTTTGTAGAAGAAGATGAAGAAGATTCAACTTATTGTCATTACGGTTTCTCTGCATTTGACCCATCCTAGTGTTAGGAGCAGTGTGCTGCCATTATGTACGGCGCCCGGGGAGCAGTGTAGGGAACGGTGCCTTGCTCAGGGACACCTCGGTAGCACTTGGTCTTTCTGGGACTTGAACTGGTGACCTTCCAGTTGCCAAGCCAAGTCCCCACCACCGTAACTCTGTTTGATAGGTATTATATGAATACTTTTTAGTGAATGTAATTTAGTATAAGCCTAATATTGATGTTAACTGTTGTTGATTGAGCCCCATTTGTTATAATGACAAAGAAACATGCGTTTATACCTGCAACATCAGTTGTTGTACCTGCATCAAGAAGCACCATTTGAAGAGACAACAACTATTCTAGGAAGAACTTCAGGCTATTTCAGTTTGTTTTTCTATTCTCTGCCTCTGGGTAAACCATGATCTATAACACATCTTCCTTGTTTCCTCACATGCATTGAAAACTAGCTCAGTTTCCAGTAAAATGGCGTACCAAAATAGACATTTTTCAAACCAGAGTATACGACCAAAGAAAACCAGCAGAGGAAGGTAGAGGATGCAATAGCTGTACAAGAGGATATGTTCGGCAGAGACCCTGGGCGTCAGCAGCTTGCACGCAATGCATGCTGGTACATGTAGGGAACTGCTTGTCGATCAATATAAAATGCAATAGGGAATTAACTACTTGAAGTGACTTAATTTAACATGAACACTGATTGGACATCCACAAAAAAAATAGAAATGTTACCTTTAACAACTTCAATGCTATAAAAGAAATGTGGTCAAAGGTAAATAAAGGTTTGAAATGAAATGAAATGAAATTTAATATCACATTTAATGTATACTATTTAATGTACATTGACATACACATTAAACAATATTTTTGTAATTGTTTGCAGTCATTTAAGACTTATTCTATATATCAAACATCATCTAATTCATAGTGTTAATTTCAGCCCAACACTTTATTCTGAAATATAACACCGGAAGTGCTGATGTTGTGTTCTACCTTGACACTGTTGAATCATCTACACTCGGCAGGTTAAATGTGGTACTCGAAGTGCCTCACCCACTAGCTATGATAAAGTTATTTCCCCACCCTGCCCGCTTTTAATCCTTTAATTTGACGCTTTAGGTTGTTAACAAACCCACAACCCAATTCTCCGAGAGTCACACCTCTGTTTCGAGTACAACAATCGCTTTAAGAGTAAAAAATAAACAATGTTCCTACACGAAAGATAACATTAACGGTAGGGGCTTCTGTCCTAGTCACAAATAACCTTTTGAGGTGGTAATAATGCCCTTAAATATAATAATGTGATGATTTTCAGGGCATTTTTCCACGGTAAAGTGACGTCTGTTGTGGGTACACACCCACAGCGACAGGGAAACGAGTAATTCCAGCTCTTTGATCCGCATAGACGACATGTTTGACAATAAAAAACAAATCGTAAAACTGTTCACAGATTCATTGTGTTTAATGTCAGACTGTAATAGTTATATTGCTCTTTGTGTGGGAGTTTCCTCAACGATGCAGTCATCCTTACTGTAATCCCACAGACACCTGTTGTGAGATTTAGGCTACAGTATGTCCTTTGTGCAGAGCCAGCAGAAAGTGCGCCGGGAAAAAAGTCTGTTGAGTGTGTTTTTGCACAGCTTTTGCCTCGCTTTTCTGCATGCTGCAGTCAGGAAAAGAGATGGGATATCCATAGTCTTACCGGAGCTGGTGAGGTGTGGAGAGGTGATGATTGTCCGAAGCTCACAGGCAGATTTCCCCTTCCTCAGTGCAACCCGGCGCAATATGGCGCTCATCATCCCGCTGCGGTTCCTGCTGCCACCGGCAGGCTGAGGAGCTCCGGTACCTGAGGGGGACCTGCAGGGGGCTCTGAGGGGCTCCCCCAAATAACACACAGTTTCATTATGGTTAAAGGGACTTTTTAACAGAGGTGGAAGAATATATCTTACTTAAAGGTGGGGTACGTAAGTTTGAGAAACCGGCTCGAGATACACTTTTTTAGCCGGCCCGGCTAAAATAACTGGATGGCCTACCTGCCTGTCAGCCTTCCATCTGTGCACAAATTTATCTCGTGCCCTCATTGGTCATGTGCGCGTTCGTGTGTGTTGGAGGAGGGGCTCTGTAAGGAAGTGGCAAATTTTCTCCGATTGTGTATTTTCTAATTCTAGCGATCTCGAGCCGGTTTCTCAAAGTTACCTACCCCACCTTTAAGTATAGTGTAAAAATACTCAATTACAAGTAAAGATCCTGCATTCAAAATGTTACTTAAGTAAAAGTACAGAAGTATTAGCATTCAAATATACTTAAAGACAAGTACCAAAACTAAAAGTAGGCCTACTCATTATGTATAATGGCTATTTTTGAAAAAATACATATTATATTGCTCCAGTCTAATTTGTGACAGTCTTAATTTTGCAGCTGGTAAAGGTGGATTTATCTTTAATTGTTATACTCCTAGGTCTACTCAATTAAAGTATGAATACCTCAAAAATCTAATCAAGTATGCAGTAGGCTACTTGACTAAATATACTTAATTACTTTCCACCCCTGCTTTTTAACAGGGATTTTCCACCGTATAGTGCAGGGGATTTTGTGGATTTAAATATAGATCATAAATCAGTCAGTTATGTTTGGGGACTGCTGTCATGGAAACTGAAAATATTTCATCATTAAAATCCCAAAGATTGAAACCTAAATTGTGAACCCTGGTACTGTTCCTGTGAAAACATAAGAAACAACGGCAATAAAATGTTTGGCTCTCTTAGGCCGTAAATGTGCACTCTTAATTGTGAAATTGTTTTTTTACATCAATAATAATTACAAGATCCATTCATTCCCTCATTATAACGTTAATGACCAACATATGTGCCAATCATCAATCATGTACTTTTACTGTATAAATCCCATACTAACTGCTACACTGCTATATTACAAGTTTATTTGTTTTTTAAGCCATTAGTATGTCCTTTTCCTCCAAGTCATATCATATACAGTATTATATGTGTGTTCACAGAGTTAAACTTGAATTTTTGACAGGATCAGGGAGTCTCTGCTCAGTAAGAAACATGGCTCTTGTCTGTGTAAGTCAAGATAGCTGAGATAACTACATTAATAAGAAAACAATTATGTGAGTAATAACTATAAATACCATCTATGACTCTGGATAAATAAATGAAAACCTCATGTGTCTGCTATGTATAGATTGGGGTGTCACCTGTCCTGCACGCTGATGCATGACGGCTCAAACTTTTTTTTAGTTGAGCACATGAGGGAAGCGCGCGTCTGAGAGAGTGCCGTCATTGGTGTGCCGCCCAATCAGGTGACGGGATTAAAATAGAGCCGTATATATCAGAGGTTGGACGTACTTCTCACCATAATACGAAACCAGAGAGATGTGAAAGTCCTGCCTACCACTTTGTACTACTAAACCGGCCATTGTCAACATAACCCCTCCTTAGGTACTTTTGGAGCTTATTGAATAAGAAGTACAAAAGTAGCCTACCTAATGTCACTGTAGATATGAATTTAAAAGAGAGGAAGGGAGAAGAGAAAAACAAGGAAGTAGAAGGAAGGGAAACCAAACTGATTTGAACAAGTGTGTTTTCTGTTCTTACATTGCATGTTACCTGTGCTTTAAGATGATTCGTTTTAAAACATTTAAGGGATGTTATAGTGTTTAGTCAAAGATAACTTTATTGTCTTTTTAATTTAGGACTGGTATGGTTTATTTTTGTTGTGTTAATTTGAAGGAGTGTTGTTCTTTTTGTTGTTTTTTCACACAATATTCCAGCACTGATCAGTAGTACATTTTGATGACAACTTACATGTTTACCCAAAATGTAGTTGACAAGAAGTTGTGATGGGTTCCTCCAATATTTACTTATTTTTTTTTATTTCCTGTTCTACTTAACATTTTTTACATGGTATGCTAGCTATGCTGTAAGGAATGTTACACTGCTTTGGACTGGTGACACGTGTTTAGATAAAAAGAAAAATCGTATTGTTCTGTGTGTAGTTCTTTCACATAACTAAGACAGAAGTGTAGAAAATAGGCTAGATCAAATCATTCCAAGGGATTTTTTTAGTTTAGTTTGCTTTTGTTTTGGCTGGTGAGCTAAATATAGCTGAATAAGCAGTCTTTCTGAGCAATGCAAAACAGTGTTGATTTGCCTGTTACGGCACCAGAATGAGCCGCTGTTTGCAGAGTGATGCCAGATGCAAAATAGATACAATTCACAGGAAGGCACTTTGAATGGTTTACAAAAAATGCGGAGTTCCTTTTTTTAACCTGTCCCTCTCCTCCTCTGGGACCTTTTTCTTCTTCTTCTTTTATTAATAGTAATACTAACATTATTTGTCTGATCTGCTGTGTTTGGTGTTTGCAGAACATTTCTTCTGATAAGTGAAATGGAAAAATACACAGCCTGGTTGTTATGACGGAAAGAAAAATGGCGTCAGTGATAAAAGACTAAGATAATGTTTTTTTCTTACAAAGCTGAAGCAGAAAACAACAGGACCATTGTTGTGTTTAGGGACTTCAGA